TTAAATTAGTTGTGTGATAGAGTCATAAATTTTGATATATATATATATATATATATATATATATATATATATATATATATATATATATATATAATTAAAAGAATCCAAATGTAAAAAGAATATTATTTAAGGAAAGAAATAATGGAATTTAAAATCAAAGAAGAAAATCTTATGGAAAGAAAATACGTGGAAAGGTACCAGGGATGAAAGGTAATTGTAATATTAGCCGTTTCCCTATAAAGAAATATTTAGCGTTCATTGATCGAGTAGCCTGTACTGCTTTCCATTGAAATTTATATAATCTTTCTCTTAAAACACTTTTTAGGAAAATAGGTTTCTCAAGTCCAGTAGGTTTGTCAAGTCCATCTTGATTGTGTCATTATTTTCTCTTCAAGTTACATATTCTATCCATTTCTTCTATTAAAACAATTTCCCAGGAAAATAGGTTTCACAAGTCCAGTAGCTGTTATGGCTCTTTCGAGTGTTGATGAAGGTTTCCTTCCTAACCTTATGTTTGAAGTAGTGTGGAATGTCAACATCTTGATTATTTCATTATTTTTTCTTCGAGTTACATGTGCTAGCCATTTTAGTTGTAACTGTTGTTGGGAATCCTCAAGTAATGTGGTTCTTGTTATTTGGTACAGTTCTTTCTTTGTGGTCCTGTAGAGCCAGTCCACAATGTTCAAAGCAGTATGATCTTTGTCAAGATGCACAAGCTTTACTCACTCAAAGACATTTTCGCCAGTGATTTTAGGATGCAGTTGTATACAACCGACAGTTTAGATATTTCTGAACGGGTTCGAACTCATTTGAACAAATCCAGGGACTTCTCATGCCTTGGGCTATGTCTTCAGGGTGGAGCCTTACTCGACACGCTTGGCAAACTGCTGGCTGGTGAGGCAATTTTTGAAGGTTTTGAATTCAGTTGACCTTCTCATCCAAGGCTATAGGACCCAGTCTGTTCTTCTATTTGCCCATAGCTGGAGGGAAAAGAGAAGGATTTATGCGTTTCCCCAAGAGTATTTGCACATAAATGACTGTAAGGAACTCGACTATAGAAGATATGCAAGAGGTTCGAGCCCGGACAGTGGTGAAGCTAGGGGGCGGTGCGCCACGGGCGGCACTTATGGTCTGCGGTGAGTTTTCAGAAATGAAAAAAAATAATAGCATAATTTCAATAATTTTTGGAAAATAAGCAGCGATAAGGAAGAAGATAGGGTCCAAAAATAAAGCCAATTTGTCTTTGATATGGCTGACTCAAAGCCAGCCAGCAATAAAAAAAAAAATTGTCGCCAAAACACGCTGTCAGCTGGTGGCGATAAACCACACTTTCAAGACATTTTTAAAGGGTTTGATGTTAGATTGGATTAAGCGAATTTAGTAAATCCACAGTTTTTTCCCACCTATGTGAGAAGTCTAGACTTTGGCATCAGTTCTTTGATTTTGATTTTTCATGTCTGTGAACTGTTAATGAAAAAAATTGAATAAATAAGTGAACCAATTTTTTTTCTTTTATCTTATCATAGGCCTAGCTTTAATACGGATATAAATTCGTTACTTTTCATAAATTATAAAATAGATAGATAAATAAATTGAAATAATTCCAATGCTTTAAGGATATTGTTGTGGTATATTTCCACCTAATTTGCATAGTGGAGTACCGACCATATAAATATGGTTGGTACCGGGAAGAGAGGGAGGAATCAAGAGATTCAACCAGAGACTCTGCCCGACTGCGACTCAGTCAACACATTCTCCAGGAACGGTCTTACCAGGAATATACAAAAGACTATATGTAAATATTGTGTACACTTTCTTGTTTCAATACATTTTGTTATAAGTACATTTTGTGTTGCATTAGTCAAGTTTCAACAGATATCAAATGCATTTCAATTTTTTTCCGGAAATATCGAACGGAAATTTAAAAGAAAAGTGAAACTTAATATATTTTTTTTTAAGTGCAGAAACTTTAAAGTCAAAAATGGACATTTTTTTAAACTTTTCAATTTACAAGTTTTCACTGTAGTAAAACAATGCAATGTTTTATTTTTTTGTTTAGGTAGTTGAAGTTTTATTAAGTAAAATAAACTAAGAAATATAAGTGTGATAACATTTATTTCAGTTTTTAAAAATGAAATTAATTTTATTGGACTTTTAATTCTTAGTCTACTTTGCTAATAATAACTTCAACTACATAAAATAATTTTAAAAGACATTGCATTTTTTACGTTGTTAAAACTTTTAACTTAAAAGAAAAACGAACCACGTTTCTGTTAACGTGGCATTTAATTTATGACTCCTCACTTGTTAGAATTGAAATAAGTATTAAAAAACTGATAAATTATGAATTAAAAGTACAATGTGTTTTTTTTTTTTTCTTTTTAAATAAAACAGAGGGTATATAAACAAAAACAAGTTATCTTTCTTTTAATATTGTAAAAAGTTTTTAAAGTTTTCTCGATTTAGAAAAAAAAATGAAGTAACGTCTTGTTTTTTTTTCACATATACGCAGCTTTATTTTCTTTTTATAAATAAATAAACACAATTGTACTTTCGTTTCATAATTTATCAGTGAGGAGTTAAATACCATTTTAACAGAAACAGGGGGAAAAAACTGGCATCATACGGGCATTAGATTCGGAGAAATGGATAAAAATTGATGAGTGTACGAATAATTTCGTCGTTGATATATATATATATATATATATATATATATATATATATATATATATATATATAAACTTTAAGGGGTTAATGTGCATTGTAATATTGTATTCCTTCTGGGAAGGGGCGACAAACTTGAAGGCCGCCCTGGGTATAAAAAAAACACTAACTACGCCACAGAACCCGGACGATAAAATGTCAGGAGTTCAAATTCTGATATTACAAGCAAGAAGGTCTTTCCGTTTAGAAGATTGGCACAATATAATCTTCGTATTCCCATTTGACGTGGCAATGTTTAATAAATATAAAGACATCAAGAAAACGATAAGAAAGAAAGAAAGAAAGAAAGAAAGAAAGAAAGAAAGAAAGAAAGAAAGAAAGAAAATTATGAAAAAGTAATAAAACGATAAGAAAGAAACCGATGAAAAAGAAAGAAAACTATGAAAAAGAAAGAAAGAATTAAAAAAGAAAGAACAACAACAATGAAAATGAAAGTACGAAAACGATAAAAAAATGTAAGAAAACAATGAAAAAGAAAGCAAACGATAAAAAAGAAAGAAAACGATAAAAAGAAAGAAAACGATGAAAAAGAAAGAATGGAAGAAACCGATGAAAAAGAAAGAAAAAGATGAAAAAGAAAGAAAGAAAACGATAAAAAAGAAAGAAAAAGACGAAAAAGAAAGAAAGAAAGAAAGAAAGAAAACGATAAAAAGAAAGAAAACGATGAAAAAGAAAGAAAGGAAGAAAACGATTAAAAAGAAAGAAAAAGATGAAAAAAAAAGAAAGAAAACGATGAAAAAGAAAGAAAAAAGAAAAGAAAGAAAGGAAAAACGATAAAAAAAGAAAAAGATGAAAAGAAAACGATGAAAAAGAAAGAAAGGAAGAAAACGATTAAAAAGAAAGAAAAAGATGAAAAAGAAAGAAAGAAAACGATGAAAAAGAAAGAAAAAGACGAAAAAGAAAGAAAGAAAGAAAGAAAGAAAAGAAAAGAAAGAAAACGAAATGAAAAAAAAGAAAAGAAAAAAACGATGAAAAAAAAAGAAAGAAAAAGATGAAAATGAAAAGAAAAAAGAAAAAAAAACGATGAAAAAAAGAAAAAAAGAAAGAAAAAAGAAAGAAAGAAAGAAAGAAAGAAAGAAAGATCGATAAAAAAGAATGAAAGAAAGAAAACGATGATAAAGAAAGACAAAAAAACAAGAAAAAAAACAATGATTGAAAAAAGCAAGAAAAAATAAAGAAGGAAAGTATCAAGTAAAGAAAAATAAAAGAAATATAGAAGAAAAAACAAGGAAAGAAAGAAACATGGAATGAAAGAGGGTTACTCACAAGAAAGAAAAAGAAAAATGGGCGAAATAAATTGATTGAGAACAGAGGATTGTGTCATGGCATCTGATGTTGAGTAATTCCGTTTCAACGACAATAAAACGACGGGTTTAACCATATATGTCACATCTAGGGTGTTGGATGTTTCTCGGGTGATGGATTTTGGTTCGGAATCTACCTAAAATGGTGAGTCAGTATCTGACTGGAAAGGAGGAGTGGACCATTGAAATTTCATTTAACATGCATCAGTGGCTGGCTTGCCGCCTGCAAAAGCATGTACCTCTCTTCTTGGCCAATCCGATGAAAGAAAGAAAGAAAGAAAGAAAGAAAGAAAGAAGCGCGCATGCGTATCACCAGCACTTAGAAATGTTCTCGCATCTACATGACACATAGACTTTGAATACACACAGCACAAGAATAAACTTACATGCACACAAGCGCATTCGTAGTCGCATAAAATAAAATAATACACCGGCATATCTTAAGATATATTCACGCATATACATACAAAAACATACATACATATACTTGTATCAACACACACTTGTACACAATAATATAAAAGTATAAAAGATGTACAAAAAGCAATGCTATTATATTCAAATGGGTGTAAATTCGTTATTGACCCTTTTTTTTTAATAATGTTCACCCAATATAAGCCATAAGAGCCACTCAAAGTAGAGTGTTACTAAATGAAGTTGTAAGGACGATCAAGAGAGAGCAAATTGGTTGGTTGCTTTTGTTTAGCGGCGTATCAACTTCTCTGGGTTATTTAATGCCGAAATCTAAATATTTTGTACGAATTTTTATTATTATTTTTTGATGATAGTAATTGTTTTAGTGAATCAAGTCTTACTAATTGACACATATGTAAGGGGGACAAGAGATGGATTCATGTCTTACCCAAGGGTATTTGCACGGAAGTGAATATAACGAACCCAACGGGAATTGGAACTCGAGTCTCCGATTGACAATTCCGAGTCATTATCGATTGCACCACCCGCACATCCAAGCTTACAGCACCTCGTATTCCTGAGTGGTCACCCCATCAAGGTTCTGATCAGGCTCGATGTTGCTTAACTTCGATGATCGTACGGGAACTGGTGTTTCAACGATGTGGCCGTAAACCGGGGTGCAAGAGGTGTATATTATAAGAACATAAGATACATAACGGTTGAGTTTAGACTTGAAGAGGTTAAGATTGTAGTTATTGGGGAACAACAGCTCTGGGAAAGAATTTGTCTGAGTGGAACTTCCTCCTCACCAATGGAATATGAGGGGAATGAGTGGGCACAGTGTACATGGACTGACGGGTCCTAGCTCAAGGTCTGGACTGGTAAAAACCAAAGAATGTAGTTCGTCCGAACACGTAGCATGAAAATAGGGATAGATTAGAAAGAGGATAACAACGTTTCAGCTGTGGGAATGCATGTAGCATAATGATGTAAAAAAAAGCAACTTCGATAATATAAAATTATTTTTTCTACCTAGCTCATTCCATTTCAACTCACCCGCTACAGCGACCCTAACCAGGCCAGTATAATATTATTATTATTAGGTTGGTGCAAAAATAATGACGTAATAATGTCGTTTTTGACGTAACGTCAAAAAACGACATTATTACGTCATTATTTTTGAACCAACCTAATACTTCAAGATTTTTTCATCATTCATTTCACCCCAAGAAAGGCAATGAAGCCACTAAGGCGTAAGAAGGTACTGAGTGTTAGAGAACATGAGAAAATACTATTAACGTTAGAGAATAATAAAAGAATTAATAGTTTAAATTGACTTTCAATTTATGGCATCTAAAATTCAATGCGAGAAAAGAGATTTGTGTATTCACGTAATTTATCTCCAAGATCACATATTTCTAAAATAAGGAAGGTTAATCAAAGAATAGGTTTGATTAAGCGTAGCTTTGTCGGTTTTAACAAGGCTGTAAGTTTTGTGTGTATGTTTTAAGCGATGGTGCAGGTTCAATATGTAAACAAAGAAGATAGAAGAAGCATACGAAAAACTTGAGTTTCTACTAAGGACGTTTATTGTTTTTTTATGGTGACTGTAGTGAAACAAAGTTAAATGTCTCTTGAGTTTTCTTTTTGGTTCAGAAATAATTTATGGGCAGTAAGGATAAGAACGGGTAAAAATGGTCGAGCTCAAGTCAGCCTCGCGCTGAGTTGTGATAACCAAGTATGCCCATTTTTCACTTTGGTTCTGAAATTGTTTCTTCTTTTCTCGTATTATAAACGGTTAGGAACATTTTGTCACATTTTGAGAGAAGATGAATTTGCATTCACTTTCATACAAATACATTTGAGAAAGGTATGAATCTATAGATGTTAACAAAGTTGTAGGTTTTGTGTGTATATTTTAGGCGAAGGTGCGTGTTCAATATGTAAACAAATGTGAATGCCTCTTGAGTATGTCCGTTTTCCTTTTTTGGTTCAGAAATAATTTACGGAAAGTAAGAATAAGAACGGGTAAAAATGGTCAAGCTCAAGTCAATCTCGCACTGAGTTGGGATGACCAAAAATCACTTACTTCATGAGTGGGACTGCTGAAAACACGCCCGAATGATCTCGTTGGAAAGTGAAAACAGAAAGATTCTATCCTTTCCGGAAGTGTGGTCATAAAATCGCACATGTGGCCAGAAACAGTTTCCGGATTCTTTATAACTTTCATCATTGGAAAAGGAATTCATTTTTATCTTTATTATTATTATATTATTTATTGGTTTTATTTAATTTTCACGCAGCTTTACGAATCTTACTCCAAAAAATGTAAAAAGAAAAACCCTTTACACTGCATTTATGCATCCTGAACTTGAATATGAGGCTGTTATCTGGAGCCCAAATCAGAAAATGATATCGACTTCTTACAATCTGCCCAGGACAGGTGTCTCAGCCTAGCTACAGGTGGATTGAATCTACCATCTCTTCAGTCAAGACACCAGTTCACCGATCTGTGCAAAGTATACAAAATACTGATTGGCTATTATGAAAAGTGAACGATTTCTTCACCTTCTCAAACAGGAGGATGCATGATCACTTACACAAACTGATGAAACAGCACTTGAAATGAATGCAAGATCCAACTTCTTTGCGCTGAGAGTGATAGAAAGGTGGAACTCTTTACCTAGTGATACTGTGAATTCACCAACTCTGTCTATTTTTATGAAGAAACTTAGCATCAAATGAGCTGAGAGACTATCAACCAATTCTAATTCCAATTCAATTATTTACATGTTCTAACGAGCAGAAAGTGTAAGGTCACGTAGCTTGGTGAAGAAGGGTGAATAAATAAGAGAATTTCTTTGAAGCCGAGTATCGTGAAACAGTTGCCGTATGTTTCTCCTTACTGCTTTGTCCGTCTTGAAACTTTGCTTAAATACCCTTCACAGGGATCACGGAGCATTTTTTTTTATTATTATTGTTGGCGAGAACGCGATACGTTCGTTGAAAAATGTTAAATATTTATTTTCAAAGCATTGATTTATTAACTGGAAGAATGCGCAATCCTGCAACTCAAAAACTATTTTTGTCATTTGGTTTTTTTTTTTTTTTTTTTTTGTGTGTGTGTCTTGGCGTTTATTTCCGTCTTCGCTCTGCAAGACTTCTTTGATAAACACCCTCAGTGTTTCGGTGCGACTAAGGTTGTTTTTCTGGAAGTTTGTTTTTAAGAATTTTCTGTAAATTTTCCATTGGGTTCAGATCTGGGCTTTTCTGTGGCCAGTCCATTGTAACATTGATCCTGTTCAAAAAATCCTGAACGATTTTTGATTGGTGGAATGGTGAATCATCACTGTTCACTGATGAATGCGCATATGTATTTCCAGTTTGTCTTACTGTAATTCAGATACCATGCATCATCTTGTGTTATTCCTGGAAGCAAGAAACAGAGTAGAATATAATATTTAAGTTCCACCAACTCTTTCTCCCATTTATTTTCACTTTTATTTCTTTCCAGCCTAGAAACCGCTCTTCGGGCGGACTTTAGGCTAACTCTTTCAGTGGGCTTTTGGGGCTTCGGCCTTTTACATTCAGTGTCCTATGTAGGTAAAAGTTATAATAATTTAGAAATAATACACCTTCATTCGGCATAATCTTACTTCGTATACGCAACCAATCTCTATAGTTTGTTTACATTGGGTACGAATTTTATTTTATTTTAAAATCACCATTCTTTATAATCCCTTCACATTAAGTTACTCCTAAAAGACATTAGAGAACCCAAACTATGTAATACTTTGAATACGTCATAGTACGCGTGCTAAAAAAAGAAAAAAAAAAACATATGAGCAACGTGCTCGCTTAAGTTTTAATTACTGTTTAAATAAATAGTTTTAATAATTGTTTAATTATCAGTTGCAATTGCGACGAAAAGCGAAATTAAAGTTAAACCTTTAATAAAGAATTGTTTATAAAACCTTTTACTCTGTTTGATATTTAAAGTTAACTTTAAATGAGTTATTTAATTATTAATCGCGTGTAACTACAGTAGTTACTACCTGTTAATTCAGGTTGTTTATGATTCGCCGCTATCGAAAAACAGACGGACGGATACACGTACACTGCGCTTTATTTATATAGAAGCAGATAAAAGATTAACTATCTTAACTTTAAACACTATCTTAACTTTAAAAACAACACATTAACAATGTTCTGCCCTCGAGAGTACGCGTCCGTGTCATACACGTGTGCAATCTCAAAGACAGCCAGATAAACGCCTTAAGTCAATTAAATCTCTAAAGCAACACGAAGTTCTGTTCATCGGCAGGTTTATTAAAAGTCAAAAGGGTAAAACTAGAAAAGGAAAATAAATACACATATAAGACTAATTTAGTCTGAATAACACACGAACAAATGAGTAACACGGAATATGACAAAAGCAGTCAAAGGGTTAAACGTAGAACTAAGACGATTTGCCTAAATGGGTAAAGAAATGTAGCGAATACTTTGTTTACATAAACATATATAAAGTTTTCTATAGGAACATGTTTCAATGTTGCAGTGAGTTCACGGAAAGGAAGTTACAAGGTTTCATTTGGCAACAGTCGGTGTTGACACGTCGTGTTGAAAGGATTCTACACAGTAATACAAACATAAAAGAAACGTATAAAATATGGTTACATAAAACAAATGTTCAAATAAAACCATAGACAAATAATAAAATAGACAAATGTAGAGAGAAAAGGTATTAAAAGTTACGAACCGGCGATGGTAACATTTGGCTTGAGATTAGGAGGATGATAAAACTAAAAAAAAAATGTGCTCATGCTTTACTGTGTCAGATCCGGTAACAGCTAAGGGTTAATCGGAAATGGTAAAAACGGCGAATAATCTAAACAGTAATTAAACTAAAAAAAGGGACAAACAAAGGGGAAATAAACATCACAGGTTCTGTACTGTGGTAACAGAACAAACAATTTTACTAACACATTTGTACAGAGCAAGCAAAATAGTCCACTCGTCAGTATTTTGCTCGACCTCCTTTGTTTTGATTACTGTTTTGATGCAACGGAGCGTGCTGAGAATCAAGTTGTTACCATATTCAGCCGGGGTTTATTTTGTCCCGACTTCTTTAATGGCATCTCACTGTTCCTTGGTATTTGTAGGCAGTAGCGTAGCTAGAGTAAACGTCACCCGGGGCAGTCCGCTCAAAAGTCACCCCAATGACTCTGATTCACCCTATGCTGAATGGTTAGCTGTAGCTAAATTTTCATACATGCTCTACCTCTACTTTACTCTACTGACCGGTATGTTACAGTTTACATGTATGATCCAAGATAAAATCCAATACCACAAAATAATCAGTTCAAATAAAAAAGATTTTTAAAATGCAACTGTTCACTTTCAGAACAACTAAATACAAAACACGGCAATACACAAAATGAATGACATTCGATACTATGGTCTTAGAATGAATGTTTTCTTGTTTTCATTGTGGCAAACTGGTCAATGACATCGTCAAAATCTGTTTGTCTTGTAAGCTCGTTTTCAATGGACAGCACAGCCAGATCTGACAGTCTCGACTGGCTCATGGTTGACGTAATTTTCTGTTGCTAATTTTCCGGTGTCCAATTTTCCGGTGTCCAATTTTCCGTTGTATCATTTTCTGGGTACCATTTAATTATCAATGATGTTTGAAAGTATTTTTCTTGACAGAAATGTTCTATTTAATTTTTTTTCTGACGGGGGGACGAAACTGGGGGGGGTCATAAATTATTTCTGGGTAGGGTCATATGCCCGCCTGCGAAACCCTGTGTCTCCACCACTGTTTTCAGACTATTTTTGGCACCTTCGCCTGGTTGAAAATTTTGTTGGGGGTGACATTGTATCACCCCTCCTGTGCTGGCACCCAGGGCGGTCCGCCCCTCGCCCCCCCCAGTTACGCCACTGCTTGAAGGTTGTTTTTCTAAAACTTTGGATTCAGATCTGGGCTGCTTCCCGCCCAGTCCAGTTTTGTTATGTTGATCGTGTTCAAAATATTCTGATCGACATTTGACCGTTGGCATGAAGCGTCATTATGCATCGATATTGTGCACTGATGAATGTGCATATGACGCTCCCGTTTGCCTTGCAGTAGTTCCACATATTTGGCTCGTCCTGGGTATGACGATGAACTATATCCAGCAGCAAGACCTCTGATCGGGAACTTTTGAGGAGCGTGGAACCGCTTCTTAATTGGTGTTATTCCCAGTTACACACTGACTCGGGGTGGTAGCATCTGTTAGGATCCCAGCTATGGGCAAACAGTTGATCCCCAAACTTGGGTGAAAATCTGAAAATATAGATTTAAAACAAAAAATACCAGCAATAGATTCTTGTAAATAAAAAATTAATAGCAAGAGATTTTTTATAAAAAATTACTCAAGCTCCCATGAAAATTAAATTTCAGCATTAAACGACCCATAAGAATATATATATATATATATATATATATATATATATATATATATATATATATATATATATACTAGCAGTAGAGCCCGGCGTTGCCCGGGGATGTAACAGTAAGAGATAGATCAAGTATCGACCATCATAAAGACTGAAAATAAAATTGACAAAAGATTATTGTTTAAGCTTGACGGACACGCATGTCTTAATTAGTTTTTTTTTTTTTTTTTTTTTACGAATTGGTCAAACCCAAACTCAAACAAAAACATTGTTTTCAATCGTTATGAGTCTACCGATTGAATAGAATTTTATTATAAACAATTGTCTTGTAAATGGAATTTTTAAAGCATTCTGAATGTAAAAATAAAAAAAAAAGTGTGCAAAGCAATAAGAAACACTACCTGCCAAAAAAAAAGTGAAGTTTATTTGAAATCGGTTGAAAATGTAGGAAATCCGATCCATATATAAACGAACACACACACACACACACACACACACAAACAACCTGGGTTTCATAATAAGTATAACTCGATGTGAGTTGTCCCCCTTTCATTCTAGACAGCGATGCCTCTTAATCGTGTTTTCAAATTGATTTCGTGCAAAAACAATTCTGTTTTTCCAATTTTTGGCGCTGTCAGAACCACCGCAAGGTAATTTTATGTAGTACTGTGAAGTTTTGTTGAAATCGGTTGAAAAATGTAGGAAATCCGAACCAATATATAAACGTACACACACACACAACGTGGGTTTTATAATAAGTATGATATAAGGAGAAAGAAATCAACAAAAGTTTAAAACCACTTTTTAATTTTGCCATTTTAAAGTTAAACACAGTAATAATTAATTTATGAGAGTCTGAGTCAATTTTGCAGAAATTGTACACGACGATGTCCTCTATTTATTTCAAGCCAGATTGTCTAACTGTCAGTATTTTGCACGAACTCCTTTGCTTTTGATTACTGCTTGGCGGAGCATGCTGAGAATCAAGTTGTTACAATATTCAGCCGAGGTTTCTTTTGTCCAGACCTTTTTAATATCTTCTCTCTGTTCTTTGGTACTTGAAGGTTGGTTTTCTTCTGAGTGTTACACGACACCAGTAAAAAAAACACGGAAAAAAATTTATGAATTCATCTATGATGGCCTACACTGAAGAAACCATCAGATATATCATTTGATTGGAATCAAGGCCGTAGATAGAATTCAAACTGAATTACATTTAGTATTGAAGGGACTACAGGAAGAGAATTTCTCCGATGCTTTGGAGAGGTGAGAAAACCACTGAGTTAGTTATATATGTTTTTAAGGGAATTGTGGCGAATTTAAATAATATACTATATATTGGCCGGAGTAAAGTTAAAAAAAAAAAAAAAAGAATAAAGAATTAGGTCAACACATAGAACTCTCCCATATAACCTTGTATATTATCACGATCCCGAGTCTCGTATCCCCCCCTGAGGTTCATAGGGTCCCCACACATAGTACAGCAGTAGCAGAAGGGATGTGTCATGGGCAAATTCTATTTTACGCATACTAGCAAAAAGAAAGTCACATCTATTTCTTTTTTTCAATTCCCGTACGATCACCGAAGTTAAGCAACGTCGAGCCTGGTCAATACCTAGATTGGTGACCGCTTGGGACTACCAGGTGCTGTAAGCTTGGATGTACGGGTGGTGTACCGGATAATGGCTCGGGATTTGAAATCCGAGAGGCGAGTTCCAATTCCAGTTGGGATCGTTATATTCACTTACGCGCAAATACCTTTGGGACAGGTATGAATCCAACTATTCTCTTTCTCCCAGCTATGGGTTAATTAGTAGAACTTGTAACAGTAAATAATTATTGTCTCACCCACACACCAAAAAATATCTTACAATCTAAAAATATTTTCTTGTTTTAAATAACCTGTAAAATGCTGATAAGCCGTAGAAAACAAATCAGTCAACCAAACTATTATAAATGCATGTAAAATTATTCGCGTATTTATTGCAATAGAGATACGAGCAAACACAAATTTGCTAAAAAATACGGCCTAGCACTCATTATTATTATTATTATTACTAGAAAGATCCGTGGAAATTACATGGTTATCCTATTTGAATTTTTCTGATGAATCTTAATTCTTCAGTTAATGATTGAATAAGCTCATAGCGAGTTCTACGACAGTAAAATATCCGTAGAAATTCCCCTATCGCATCGTTAAATATTTCAGTTGAACAACTTTAACAAAATATTGCAATAACAATCATCAATATGAATGCTGGTCGTTATTTTAAGGAGTGTGTACAAATGAAAAGATTTAAAATTGACAAGTTTTTCCATTTCATTGAAACCGACTTTAAACACTTCTAGCTTTCCTTCTTTTTTTTTCTTTGTTTTTTGCTTTCATTAATTCATAGGTCATGTTTTTCTACGCAATCAAAAGGGAACATTCCATTATTTATGACTATTGGCAGGAGACTTTAAACATTTCTACCTTCCTTTCTTTCTAACCAAATCCCCATCTTACGAACATTTCTCATAATAATAATAATAATTTAAAAAATAATTCAGCAGACGATGTTATTTTATTTATGGTAACTGTCTTTTTTATTTTTTTATTTTATTTAATTTTTTGGCGATTGTCTTGCTCGGTTTCCGTCGTTCGATACTGTACCTCGGTTTCTCGGCTGATAAGAACAGATACTACACTTTGATCTCAGCCTAGAAAGGCTGAGATCAAAGTGTAGTATCTGTTCTTATCAGCTTCATCTGATTCTGTCTCTCCACTCCTGTCTTCCTTTATTTCTTTCATTTTCTCACTGAAACCAAGTAATATCTTTTCCACTCTTTCCACGCGATCAAAACGCAGAATAGTCTATTATTTATGCGGTACTGACAGGGCGTAACGGTCGTGCGAACTAACGAAGGGAGAAATCAGAAGTTTCCATTTCTTTATGATACAGGTATACCCAACATAATAGGTATAATGGAACATTTAAACAAAATAACAGCCCTGAGGTTTAAATACTTACGCGACGAGTCCCCCTCACTCCATATGGTGTATACTACCAGAGCCTCACCACACTAGTGTTACAATGGTTTCCCTAATGGATAAACATTTTATGGAGTGAAGTTATCAGCCTTGCTGTTTTGAATTCAGATTTATCAATCTCCTAGACTGGCTGCCAGCGCTGCTATTTTGAATTCAGTCTTATCTATCTTCTAGACTGGTTGCCAGCACCGCTGTTTTGAATTCAGAGTTATCCATCTCCTAAACTGGCTGTCAGCACTTCTATTTTGAATTCAGATTTATCCATATCCTAGACTAGTTGCCAACCAAGGCTGGACATCCCAGTTTCCTTTGCTATCTAACCCATAGCAGCAGGGAGAATAAATGAAGGCGTACCTTTCATAAGGTTATTTCTGCAAACCTGAAAGCAACGATCACAGCCTGAATTTTAACTCGGCAAGGCGTTCAAACGTCCGCGCGAATAGCCACGACGCTATTCGCACACCCCAGTGTTGCTGCTGTGGTCTCCGTAACAAGAACGTATTTTACGCGATGATAGTTCCTAGCTCCAGGCCAATCCGGTTTTGAATTCGGAATTATCTAGCTCCTAGGCTGGTTGCCAACATATTTAACCTTTAGTTGGGGGCGAGAAGAAATAGGTTCATACCTTTTCCAATTGAAACCAACAATACAAAGGTATTTTTTCGGTGTTTTATCCCATTTCCTTTGATTCCTTCAAAAGCCGAAGGCTTTATAAAAAAAATATTGAATGCCACAAGTGGTAACAGTAAACGCTAGTAGTAGTAGTAATAGTAGTTGTTGTTGTTTTAATAGTAGCAGTAGTATCAATTTACTGTTACTACTACTATCATTATTATTATTATTATTTACTGCTGTGGTTATGATCGTCGGTGATGTTAGAAATAAGAAATTTTGTCTTCTCATAAATTCTTTTCTCAACGATATAATTAATTTTTTTTTTTTGAATTTTCTAGGGTTCTTTCTTTATTACAAGTTCACCATATTCTTTCTCATCTTTGATCTTTTTTTCTTTTCAACTTCAATCTGTAATTCTCTTTGATTTTCTTACAAACAATAAATCTATACCGATAGGTTCGTCTATCTATAATATATACGCACATATCTATCTATCTCTCTCTCTCTCTCTCTATATATATATATATATATATATATATATATATATATATATATATATATATACAGAGTGCGATGGGTAATTTTGTTGTCATTTTATATTTTCATTTTTGCGCATGCGCCTTTTTTGTTTTTTGATTTTATGGACAACGTCAATGAGAAAAAGAGCACCGTGATGCAATTCATTCCGCCAGATATTTGGAAACGGCATGCTGTACTTTTTGGCATTCGTGCCGGAAGCTCTAATATAAACATTTCAGAATGTTTGGGTTTCAATTTGAGGACAAGGCAGAGGATTCGGAATGAGTTAGGTTAGTCTAATGGTGATTACGAAGGTGTTTGGAGTGAGCATGAGAGATGGCGACGTTATACCTCCAGTCCTCTTCCCACTGGGAGTCAGGCTCAACACGGAGGCCTACATCAAGTGCTTTGAGGAGGTAGTGCTTCGCTGGGTCAACAGGGTGGCTGATAAGAGACTATATGTTTGGCAACAGGACTTTACACCATGCTACAGAAGTAGGAGAAACCAGTTATGGTTGTGAGGCAATTTTTGCAATCATACCACCCCTTACATCTGGCCACCTAACTCCCCAGACTGCAACTCCCTTCATTTTTATGTGTGGGGCGCAATTGAGCGAGACACCAACAAAACTCCTTGTATCACCAAAGATGAACTGAAGCCAAGGATTATGGCAGCATTCACCAACTTAAACAAGGAGTCCGTCCAGAAGAGTTGCAGGTGATTCCGATGTTGTCTGGAGAGCGTTATTTAAGGCAATGGCGATTTTATAGAATAAATTTACTCTTTAGTATTTCCAGATATGTTTGTGCAATTTTGGGAAATATATCTGTTAAAATGAGATGTCAGTGTTGTTTTCATTTTTGCGCAATTTAGACGACAATCTCTCCCTCTCCTCCCCTCTCTCTCTCTCTCTCTCTATATATATATATATATATATATATATTCCAGTTTGTTCAAGTCTATCTATCTATCCATTTATCTATCTATCTATCTATCTATCTATCTATCTATCTATCTATCTATCTATCTATTTCAGTCTATTCATATCTAGCTAGCTAGCTGTCTATTTCAGTCTGTTCATATCTATCTATCTTGCTAGCTAGCTAGTAGCTATTTCAGACTGTTCATATCTATCTATCTATCTATCTATCTATCTATCTATCTATCTATCTATCTATCTATTCCAGTCTGTTCGTATCTATCTATCTATCTATCTATCTATCTATCTATTCCAGTCTGTTCGTATCTATCTATCTATCTATCTATCTATCTATCTATCTATCTATCTATCTATCTATCTATCTATTCCAGTCTGTTCGTATCTATCTATCTATCTATCTATCTATCTATCTATCTATCTATTCCAGTCTGTTCGTATCTATCTATCTATCTATCTATCTATCTATCTATCTATCTATCTATCTATCTATTCCAGTCTGTTCGTATCTATCTATCTATCTATCTATTTCATTCTACTTCGTCTTTTTTTTTCTGCCATTACTTCTTTTTCATTTTTCTATTTTCATTTCTTCTTTGTTACTTTCCCCATTTTTAGTAAAATCTTTTTTTTTTCTTCACTAACCGCAAATTCAATCTCCATAAGCATTTTTCTTCCTCACACCGGACTCTCCAAGTACAGTCAACGATCAATTTCCGTTTTCATAATCGATAAAGAGAAATATTGTCAAGTAGCAATTATAGAATTCTAGATGCTGAAAATAAAAAAATAAAAACAATGTAAAATGTTATTTAATCTAAACTTATAAAATCTGACCCCTTTGTTTCACTAAACTATTACAGCAGCTACTTTGATGACCGCAATCCCAAATGTGCCCCAGTAAAACCGTCATCAGTCGTCTAGGTGGCAACTCGTAAGTAGCGATCTCACTATCAATAGATTGCAAGATGTAGTGAGTTAACCACCCCCACACACATATAATTTAACATATAGTAGCGTGGATCTTAAGAGTTAAAATGGAAAGTTGATTTACCCACGTCAAGAAGATTAATGAATGATTGTATTGACGAGGAAACACGCGGGTAATCTTAATAAAACTAGAAATTTATTTACGAATGTAGACCTTGAAGGTGTGTCAGTCGACTGTTTCAGGAAAATAAATCAGAATTTTTTTTAATAGTTCGTAGTTTTAACATATTGTCCTGAGGAGGAAATGTTCCTACAACAGATTAAATGATCTGACAAAATAATAATCAAAAATGCTTGAAACAAATGTAAGAGAGTTCGTTGTTTTCACTGATCGGATATACGGTTGCAAACATTCACAAGTAGACGATAGTTTGAAATACTTAGCTTTCTTAGATTGTTGAAAGAAAATTCTTTGAAGTTACCGCGTGCTTGGTTAAAAGGCCGATAATACAATTGGTGAGTAATTTGACACTGGCGAAAACTTCAACTCTGGACATGGTGAACAGAAACGAAACCTTTCACATGATTTCATTCACTCTTCTCTCTTTAACTTTTCTCTTCACTTGATATAAAAAAAAAAAAAGAATCTCGCATAAACTCGTTACTTGTTTTTCCTTCTTCTTGACACAACGGCTCATTTCTGTGAAGACAAGGTTTTCATTGGTCCAAAGAAAATTTCACATAGGCTTCCTTCGCGTTTTTTCCTCAGTTCTTTCAATTTGAAGGGAGTGGATGAAGAGAGTTATTATTTCGCACTCATTACAAACACACACTCACACGCTGATCAACACACACATACATAGAAGTAGTAGAGTTTAAGGCTCTGCCTAGCCCTGCCGAACTCTACATGTATTGGCGTTCCGGATTGGTCACAAAACCGTCCAATCGTGGTCCGTCTCCACAGTGGGAGATATGAAGCTCTTGGTGTCGTTTCGGCCCCAGGACGTTGTCAGACATCAAATACTCAACCTGTTCCTCTTCTGACACCCCATGCCAGACCTATTCGAAAGCAGGACCTTTATCATTCTATAAAAAAACATTCACAAAAGGTAAAAAAATGTATGTTGTACATCCAGTATGCTGCTGTAAGACACTGTATCTGGCACCATGCCATACAAACAGGAGAAACCGATCATGACTGTCATGGAATTTCAGATCAGCTCTTACATCTGGCCATATAACTCTCCAGACTGCAACCCCCTTGATTGAGTCTTATTTGAGCAAGGGAGAAACAAAACTCCTTATAACACCAAAGATGAACTGAAGGCAAAGATTGGGGCAGTATTCACCAAATTAAACAAGACCGTCCAGAAGAGTTGCAAGTTTTCAAGTGAAGTGTTTTTTGTTTTTTTTTTATTTGGTATAGTCCTTTTTTATTGTGATTGTGTACTGAAATTTGAAAATTTTACGGCTTGAAAGAATAATTCCAAAAATTCAAAAATATTACGGCTTGAAAGAATAATTCCTGAAATTTAAAAATATTACGGCTTGAAAGAATAATACCTGAAAATTAAAAATATTACAGCTTAAAAGAATAATTCTTGTGACTTAAAAATATTAGGTCTTGAAAGAATAATTCCAGAAATTCAAAAAATATTACGGTTTGAAAGAATATTTCCTGAAATTTAAAAATATTACGGCTTGAAAGAATAATTCCAGAAATTTAAAAATATTAGGTGTTGAAAGATTAATTCCTGAAATTTAAAAGTATTACGGCTTGAAAGAATAATTCCTGAAATTTAAAAATATTAGGGCTTGAAAGAATAATTCTTGAAATTTAAAAATGTTACGGCTTGAAAGAATAATTCCTGAAATTTAAAGATATTAGGGCTTCAAAGAATAATTCCTGAAATTTAAAAATATTACGGCTTGAAAGTATATTTCCTGAAATTTGAAAATATTACGGCTTGAAAGAATAATTCCTGAAATTTAAAAATATTATTTCTTGAAAGAATAATTCCTGAAATTTAAAAATATTAGGGCTTGAAAGTATAATTCCTGAAATTTGAAAATGTTTGTGCTTTAAGGAATACTTCCTGAAATTCGAATATATTAGGTTTTGAAGAATAATTCCTGAAATTTGAAACTCTTCGTGATATTTGCAGAAACAGCAGTTCGAGGCCAGCAGTCCTTCACATTTGAATGGCGTAGATTTATTGTCTTTCCTTTTTAAGGATTATTTCTTATTCATGTGTCTTTTGAAGCAGGGATTTTTTTTTTATTCGGTGAATAAAACAGTTTCAACTTATGGGAAGGGAGACTGAATAGAACATGGTTTGCCTTCGCAAAGTTAAGCATTTCAATGCCAAAGTTAAGCCTTTTGTTGTTAAGTAGAGTGAGAACTGGATTCTTCTCACTTCAACGTACATACTTCACGAAATGCTTAATATGCACCAGTTAGAATTCTCTTATAACCCATTAAAATTCTCTTATAATTCTCTTATGATAATTCTCTTATAACCCATTAAAAATTTTATTTCCTCCAATATATCCAACTATACTTTTTGTGCTCAAATTAAACAATTTGAACATCAAACTAAAAAAATCAACTTCAAATTAATGAAGCACAACTTCAAATTAAAAACGATCAACTTCAAATTAAAAAAAAACACTCAACTTTAAATTAAAAACTCAACTTTAAGTTAAATAAAAGCTAAACTTCAAATTAAAAACACTCAACTTCAGATTAAAAAGCTAAACCTCAAATTAAAAAGCTAAACCTCAAATTAAAAAACTAAACTTTAAATTAAAAAACTAAACTTTAAATTAAAAGACTAAACTTTAAATTAAAAGACTAAACTTCAAATTGAAAAAGTTCAACGTCAAATTAAAAACTCTAAATTTCAAATTAAAAAGGTTCAATTTCAAATTAAAAAAGCTCTACTTTAAATTAAAAAGTTCATCTTCAAACTGAAAATCTCAACTTCAAGTTAAAAACAACTTCAAATTAAAAACCTCAACTTTAAATTAAACACGCTCGACTTCAAATTAAAAATACTCAACTTTAAATTATAAAAGTTAAACTTCAAAATGTGAGTTACGATTTCGAAACTTCAAAATCGAGCATGCACAGACACTTAAATATCTGGGATGTGTTATAACAGATGAGGTAAAATGTGACACCGAAATGCGAAGGTGAACTGGAATTGTAAGATGCCTTCCAAAAGCCCAGAAAAGTATTATGGAAAAGAAAGATCTCGTTAGAAAGAAAAAAAAGACTTGAACCATCTCCCCCGCTTTTTTCGGTCTTGTGCCGCAATTACTGTATCATACTTATTATAAAACCCAGGTTTTGTGTGTGTGTGTGTGTGTGTGTGTGTGTGTGTGTGTGTGTGTGTGTGTGTGTGTGTGTGTGTGTGTGTGTTGGATCGGATTTCCTATATTTTCAACCAATTTCAACTTCACAGGACTACGTAAAATTACCTTGCGGTGGTTCTGACAGCGCCAAAAATTGGAAAAACACAATTGTTTTTGCACGAAATCAATTTGAAAACACGATTAAGAGGCATCTCGAGAATGAAAGGGGGACAACTCATATCGAGTTATACTTATTATAAATCCCAGGTTGTGTGTGTGTGTGTGTTCGTTTATATATGGGATCGGATTTCCTATATTTTTCAACCGATTTCAACAAAACTTCACTTTTTTTTTTTGGCAGGTAGTGTTTCTTATTGTCTTGCACACTTTTTTCTTTATTTTTACATTCAGAATGCTTTAAAAATTCCATTTACAAGACAATTGTTTATAATAAAATTCTATTCAATCGGTAGACTCATAACGATTGAAAACAATGCTTTTTTTTGAGTTTGGGTTTGACCAATTCGTAAAAAAAATAAAAAATAAAAAAAATAATTAAGACATGCGTGTCCGTCAACCTTAAACAATAATCTTTGTCAATTTTATTTTGCAGTCTTTATGGTGATCGATACTTGATCTATCTCTTACTGTTACATCCCCGGGCAACTGTGTTTTTTCTTTTCTTTGTTTTTCCTTCGTTCTTCTCTTAACTATTATATATCATATGATTATTAATACCATTCAGCCATACCTTTTGTCTCAAATGTTATAATGACGGATACAAATATTAATATTCTGGCAATTTTGAAGCATTATTTTAAACTGGGCCTCAAAGCTACTTAGAGAATTCAAGGAGTTGAAAGAAATGAAAAAAAAATATGACGAGGCTATCCCAAAATTATTTAAGAATTTGAAGAATGTTGATTTATCCCTTGAAATAATGTTAAAAAATGAACGGCCATCAGTTGTCGATTCTGATAAATTAAAATGCAAATTTAAAGAGAACGGTCCGCCAACATTTGGAAATTCACAGATCTAGGATCAATGCAACATTTCAGATCATTGAAAAAGTTTTTAAAAAAAAAACATATAATTGATTCAAAAAACGAACATACTTTTGATACACTCATTAATATATATTACACTGTTTGAAAATACATTACGCGAATGCTGAAGTATATAAATTATTAAAATTAGCTTCAACACCGTTAATAACAAAATAAAATATTTTCATGCCTCGAGTTCGTAAATTCCGAGCGTAGACAAAATTAATATTTCATATCGTTCTGCTTCGGATCAAAATTTACATTCCTTTTACGGCATTCCATTTAACAAGGGTTATATTTTTTCAGATAGATATAAACAAACTGAAATAGATAGATAGATAGATAGATAGACAGATAGATAGATAGATAGATAGATAGATAGATAGATAGATAGATATGAACAGAGTAAAATAGATAGAAAAAAATGGACTGTTGTACC